TAAAAAGATACACACATACACACACACACACACACACACCCATAGAAGCCAGACCCAAAGCCTTCTGAAAGCAACTGCAATTAAGCAAAACTTCACATTTCTAGAAATTTGGGGTTAAACGTCAGCAAGTAAAAAGTAAATAAGTTTGGTTTTGGCCCAGCCCTTGCAAAGAGTAAGCAGTGGGCATATGAACTCTTGTAAAGAACTATTAAAGATTTCCCCAGTGGACATTCTTAGTGATTCTTAATTTTTTAATGGAGGAGGGAAAAAACGATTTGCTCTAAAAATAAGGCAAAGCAAGACAGAAGTCTCATACATGCAGCAAGGTGTCAAATGTAATTCGAGTTTACTCACTTTCTTTTTACCATGGATACAATAAGCCAACTTACCAGAGGAGAAAGCACAGGAGCCCCATTAAATCGAATAAGGGAAACGTTTTTGCATTGAGCAACAGGAGACATTCCATTCTCCATAAGCTCTCCTTGAATCCTAGCCAGGTGCTTCTCGCAGAATTTTTCATATCCCTCCATCTTAATGCAATTGAGCTGAAGAATGAGAGAGGCATACAGAAAGAGAGAAAACAGACCCTTTTGCAAATAACAAGTAACAATACTGAGTAACAATAAGAATATATTGTTATTCTCTGCTATACAATTCCCTGGTTGATCTGCCTCTGTTGTTACTACTGGCCTGGAAAACTGCACTGCCAACTAAAGGAACTCTGCAACAGAGCTCTAAAATTATTACGGAAATCAGGACGAAAAACTCAGTGCTTGAAACCAAAGGAAAGCAAGTCTACTTTGCCCAACAAAACTACAAAACTCTCAACTCTTCCAGGCAGCCACAGCCCACAACAGGGTTCAATTCTGACCATATTAGAACAGGTTACTGATAAAAAAAGGTTCTAATAGGAATACTTACTGCAAAGACAAGCTTAAAAATCAATGTACCCCCATCCAAGAGGATGGCACTGTCCCTGTTATACAGTGACTACAAAGTTAAGGAGGTTCCTGGCATCGATTTTAGTCCCCAGTCATCCCACTCCTGCCGCCTCGATCCCCAAATCTCAATCGAGTCTTTGCAAGGATCTTTAAAGATCTGCTCTGCTGTCAGAAGCAGGTGATCGGGTGCAACCCCCTCCTCCATGAAGCTTCCCAGTTGACCTTTATTATTAAAGGCTTCTGTTGTTGTCATTTTTACTAATGAGGTTTATTTATCCCAAGAACAAACCCCTTCCGACCCCCCCCCCCCCCATACGCTTTGGCATCTTTAAATCAGGGCTGGGATTCCAGAGTAGCTTGACTGGGGGGGGGGGCAACGCCCCAAAGCTGAATAAACAGGTTCCTCCCCGTCTCAAGCGCCTGGCTGGGAGGTGGGGGGATAATTTCAACCAAGGCCAAATAAAGCTTAAGTAAAAATGAAGCTTAACATTAAGTACAGCTTAACATTAGGCGAAGCTTAACCTTATATGCAGCTTAAACGGCCCTCCCCCTTTCTCTCTCGGCGGACCAGGCCTCCGACCACGCTGCCGACAGCAAGCTTGCAGCCCCCCGCGGCTCCCCACAAAGCCGTCCCCGGCCGCCCCGCTTCCAAAGAGCGCAAACTGCGCGCCTTCAGCGCTCCTGCCCGCCAAGGCCGGCCCTACCCATCCCCTGGCAACCCTGAACACGGCCCGCCTCTTCCGGCTTGAGGCCGTTGCAGCCTCCCACGGCGTCTCCGGGCAACCGAAGGGAAGAGCCGGAAGTCGGGGATCGCAGCGGGCGGTCTCCAAACTCTTGCATTTTGGGAGTTGTAGTTTAAACAGGAAAGAGGCCCTCCAGTGGAACTGGATTCTCGGATGGAAGTGTAGTTTTCTTGGCAACCTTGTGGAAGAGGATGGCCATTGTCTTCTGGAACTGACAGACATTTTTTGAAGTTCTAGTCTAGTTCATGTGGGTGGGGATTTTCTGGTGGTCTCTCATCCTAGTCCTAACCAGGTTTCCCTCGGACAGTTTTTCAAGCTTCTTGCGTGCCATGGTGGTGCCCAACGGATTAAAAGAGTAAAAGAAAATCCAGGAGAAAACAATAGAAAAGAAAAAGTTTCTAGTGGGAGACTAGTGGGCTTCCTTGTGCAATCGATTGCCCCCTGTGAAAACTGATTGCTAGGCTAGATGGGTCAGGGGTCTGATTCACCAGGTCACTGCTTGGCTTCTGAAGCGCCACACTGCATGGATGCAGTCAAAAAGGGCCAAATGTAAATTCAGCTCACTGGAAAAGGCTCTAATGCCGGGAATGGTGGAAGGAAGGAAGGAGAAGAGGATGGCCAGCAGCAAGGTGGAGGGACTCAGTTACAGGGGCAATGAGTGCACCATTGGAAGACCTGAAACACCCAGGTTAGGGACAGATCATCCTGAGATTGTCTGTCTGTGTGGTCACTAAGCGTCAACGCTGACTTGATGGCATATAATCAAATCAATTAATCAATGCAAAGACCCAGCTCCCCTGAGAAACCCATAATGCTGGGAAAGTGGAAGGAAAGAGAAGAAGAGGACGACCAGCAGCAAGGTGATGGACTCCGTTACAGTGGCGATGGGGGCACCACTGGAAGAGCTGAAGGACCAGGTTGGGGACAGATTGTCATGGAGAAAATCTATCTATGTGGTTGCCAGGAGTCAAAAACAACTTGATGGCCCATAATCGAGCAATCGGTTCCACAGCTATTGAATTTCCTGGCCATCTTCTCCACGGACGAACTGAACCTGACCCTGTTTAGCTTTCCAGCATCAGCTGGGTTCATCTCTTCAAACGGCAAGCGGCGATTTGAGATTTGGAGTGGGTTTTTTTCCCCTAGTCGTCGAAAACAACCTGATGGCACATAATCAATGCAGCCTATTTGGGTTTTTGTCAGCCTCTCTCTTATAGGCATGGTCAACAAGGGAATTGGGGGGGGGGGTTGTGGTTGCCCAAATGTAACGCAGGCGCGGAATTTGGAAATCCCGCTTCTGGTCGCCGCCGCCTCGTCCAAACCCCGCCAAGCTTATTACTCCGCTA